CATAGATATGCTGATGGAAGTATCCTTAACTGAACGTAATGACTTAGGAATCGACTTGTTACCAGGGAATAGTCTTATGGACTTAAATATGCAGATTTTTTTAAAAATTTTTTTATTTTGATTTACAGCTTGATTCCACACTGTATTTTTGGTACAAGTATGGAATTTTCAGCATGGATATCGGTAGCCCAAATTTTGCACGCCGAATATAGATATCAGGTGTGCGCCGGCGCGGGCTCGAACCCCGGACCATGACATAGTCCTGTTATGGGAGGATGCTGACAAAATGCAGAGTCTTCTGAACACCTTGAGCAGCAATCTTCGTATGTTTGGCATGCGATTCGCCCCCACAAAATGCAAGATGCTGCTACAGGACTGGACTACGTCAACTCCTAACTTAGTGATAGGGAGTGAAGTGATAGAACATGTTGACCACTTCACCTATTTGGGAAGTTGTATTAGCACCAACGGACTGATTGGCGACGAAATCTCAGCACGGATCCGAAAAGCTCGAGCTGCTTTCGCTGACTTACACCATCTCTGGCGTAGGCGTGACATCCGGTTATCAACCAAGGGACGTGTGTACTGCTCATCAGTTCGCTCCGTCCTTCTCTATGGCTCTGAAACATGGCCAATACGAGTTGAAGACATGAAAAGGTTGACTGCTTTCGATCATAGATGTCTGCGATCTCTATCTCATGTTAGGTGGTTTAATAAGGTAAGTAATGTTGACGTTAGGCGTAGAGTGTTGGGCAAACAGGGAAAATCAATCGACGAGGCTATAAAGTTACATAGACTGAGATGGCTAGGTCACGTGGTGCGCATGCCTAACCATCGCCTCCCCCGACGACGGGCATTACTAGCTGATATAGGTGCAGGTTGGAAAAGAGCCAGTGGTGGCCAAACAAAAACATGGCCTCATCAATCCATGAAATCCTTGACAGTTAAACTGAGTCAGGTAGGGAGATGCAGACTCCCGGGTTGGGGCCCTCGGGACTCTAGGAATCAATGGCTGGAGACAATAGGTGACATGGCTCAAAATCGTTGTCAATGGCGCAGATGTATTCAGTCTCTGTAATCTTTCATATTCCTTTCTACCATTACCCATTCTGTTTCACTCTTATACTTGTCAGACTGTATTGATTCTCTTCACTCATCTTCTTGTCTACCTCTGTGTGTTATTTGGAACGTGGCAACTCGAACTGGTGCACTTCGGTGCCAAGTTCTATGTTGAATCCAGACAGACAGACAGACAGAACACACAACCACACAATAGGGTGGGAGAAGGTTAAAATTCTAAAAAGTAATCTAGGTAGGTGGAAAGAGAGGTTGCTTACTGAATCCTTGTTCATCGAGTCTACACCCAACACATGCAATAGGAATGACTCGTCACTCATACCTGAAATATGGAAAATACTACTACCAATAAAATCAAGCGAAAATCAAGAGAAAAACAATGGAACTCTATAAATGAAGTTAGGAAGTCGTGTGATTACTTTGATATGATTATGAGCAATAAATTGTGCTCGAAACGTCATCAGTAAACATTACTGTATAACACTGTGAGACTTTATCAAAACAAAAATTACCCATAATGGAATTAATATTACTACTTTGATAAAACTATTAGTAGCAGCATTAAGTAGCAAAACGTCAGTAAAAACAATAACATCGTTTTGTTTTTCATTCATTGAGAAATACAAGAAAACCTCTATTATAATGAATATCATATACCCAATTCCGAAATTTTTTCAAACTGTTAAAAGTTAACGCTTGGTTTGGACATATGTAATATTTATATACACAGAATATTCTAGATTAGTAGTCAGTAACAATATTAGTGTTTTTTTAAATAATATCGATTTGTAAAGTAAGATCACAATGGAATTGCAGTTCATTAAAGATGCTTAAATTATAATGATAATAAAGATATAGTAGCAAATAGAATATCAACTAAAATTACGACAATTCCACAAAAATTCAGGACCATTCAAACTTAGATGGCCATGGTAAGGGTAATTTCTCAATCAGCTTCTTTTGGACACAAATTAGGCTTCTTAATGTGGATCCAAACAGCCAGTCTCAGGAATATTTAGTAATCGAACTGTTAAGGCGAAATTGAGATTTGTTGATATGCGGTAAATGACCCTGAAAGCATGGTTAACATCAATCTTGTGTTCTGTATCCACAAGATGAGATAGAATAGCGTTACGAATAAATTTTGTTTGTGCTTTACTTAACTACACAAAGTGATGTACGGAAATTCGACGAGAAACACACCTAATTGTACGGCTCATGTAACTGGCTCCCCAAGAACAGTTAAATTGGTAGATACACATGGAAAAGGTGAAATTAGGCAGTTTTTCTTTTACTTCCGAACACAAAAGAGGAGTGGTTTTGAAGACACAGAGTAATTCAGCAGCAAAGAATGCTCTTTTTACAGCACCTCTAAGGCGTTGTGTTAGTATCTCGCTGATGTTGTCCCCAAGGAACTGAATTTATAAGAATAAGGCCTTTTGAAGAACTATTGGTACCTTGGGTTGCTTTGTGATATTAGGTTCATATTCTTATCAATAAAATTTTCTGGGTAATCGTTTCACTAAGCAACCGTTTAATATTGTTAAGTTCCTTATCAATACATTCATCCGAGCAGATTTCTGTTGCTCTGTGAACCAAGCCTAATTTGTGCGTCCAGGCTAGTTCAGACGTTATCCTTACCCTGGCCATCTAGGTTTGAATGATCCTCAATTTTTGTGAAATTTTCCTAATTTTAGTTGATATTCTATTCGCTAATATATCTTTATTATTATTATTTAAGCATCTTTAATGAACCTTAATTCCATTGATCTTTACAAATCGATATTATTTAAAAAACACTAATATTTAATATTGTTCTATTTTTTCATTCGTTGGGGAATATGCACAGACTTTCCTAGTAGTCGTGATTTGGTCCATAGGTCATGAAACTAAGCAAAACTGTAACTAATATAAAAGCAACCTTCCACAAGTTCCAGTATACCATTTCGACGAAAAAGCTTTCACCAACTAGCTCCCGTGTGTCAGGTGTAGATCATAGCCAAGTGCATGAACGTGCACATGATTGCTGAGTAACTTTCATTCTGTAAATTTAAGTGTAAACCTTTTCAACTAAGTGACAATTATCGAATAGGAAGTCTTATGATTATTGAGAATTAAATTCATCAAATGTACGTCAATGGTTCCGCAGGTAGAATGGTTGCCAACCACTCCCGTAGTCTGGGTTCGATTCCCAGCTTGTGCACTCCTAAACGTCGCCTAATTTACTGACCAAATAGTAAGCCTGGATAAGAGTGAAGGTTGAGGGAGATGGGTCACAGTTGCTCAATGGTCTACGAGCTCGCCTTGTAACCAGAAGTTCCTGGGTTCGACCCCCAGTGGGTGCGTACTAGGACAAAACAGCTGTGCAGTACTCCCAGGTTTTCCAGTGGTTCTCTAACTGATGTCAGTTCATAATAAAATCCCCCATGCAATCAGATTCCATTACACTGATTGACACGCCTACTACTTGACCCGTCATATTTGTCCATCCCAAGCAAAATACTAAGCAATATCACCTTAGAGAGAATCAAACAAGCCACGCTGGATGAAAAACTTCGACCGAAACAGGCTGGATTCAGGAGAAACAAGTCATGTATTGATCAAATCATCACACTACGGATCATCATTGAACAAAGCTTGGAATGGCAGTCACCTCTCTATCTCATCTTCATCGACTTTGAAAAGGCCTCCGAGAGCGTCGATCGAGAGGTCATTTGGAAACTACTTCGCTACTACCAAGGGGTGCCCCGCTGACAATTATACATCTCATCCAATAGTTGTACGGTAATGCTGCATGCCAAGTAATCCACAATGGGAAACTTAGGGAAGCCTTCGAAGTGAGGATGGAAGTGAGACAAGCTGGCTGTCTACTATCGCCAATGATTTTCCTGATTGCAGTAGATTGGATAATGCGACAAACAGCGGGGAATGAGGAAACAGGCATAAAATGGTCCCATACAAAAAACTTGGAGGATGTGGACTTCGCCCATGATATATGTCTGATTTCCCACAAACTAGAAGATATTCAAGTGAAAAGCAACAAGTTGGCAGAAGAAGCATCAAAGATATGACTTCAAGTGAACATAGATAGAACAGAGGTGACTAAGATTCCTGGCCAACAGCAACAACAACAGACAACAATCAGCCAGCATAAATGGGAGGAACCTGAAAGAAACAACCTCCTTTACCTACCCGCCTACCTGGGAGGCATCGTTTCAACTACAGGCGGACGAAACTGACGAGGATATCAAAGCAAGAATCGGAAAAGCAAGACAAGCTTTCATTCCTCTTAAGTCTGTGTGGAGGTTAGCAGCACTCAGCATCAAAAATAAGATCTGAATTTTCAACTCCAATGTGAAGTTAGCGTTACTATACGGATGGATCAGAGACCTGGCGCGTCATAAAGAGCATCTTAAACAAACTACAGACTTTCATGAACAGTTGTCTTTGCTCAATACTCAAGATCAGATGGCCAACCAGAAAAGATCAGAAACAGGGATCTCTGGTAATGAGCGAATTAACCAGGAACCGATTGTGCAACAAATAGGCAGGAAGAAACGGAGATGGATTGGCCATACTCTGAGGAAACCATCAAGTGACTGACATCACTAGAAAAGTTGGTCGTCCAATTATGACTTGGAGGAGGTCATGTGAAGAGGAGATGAAAACATGTGGGCAGACTTGGAGCCAGGTGAAAACTCTAGCAGAGAACCGAACGCAATGGAGACTTGGGCGGCTGAAGCCCTATGTTCATCTAGGAATTAAGGGAAATAATAATAATTAAGGGAGACGCTTTCAAATTCACTCCAGAAACTTCAAATCTTGACAGTTTGAAACCCTATTCGCTCCACTCAGAATGCAATGAAATGAACAAAAATCCATCAAGTAGTTAAAAAAAAGATAAAGATATTATTTTATATTCACTAAGTAGAAGATTCTTCCTTTTCTTGTTTTTCTTTAATAGATGACACTTCTTTTCTCCATTCTTTTAACCTTGACCATTGAGATTCTCGTCGGGTACGCGGCGCCAACCATGCACCACGATTTATTTTCACAATATTTTGGAAGTAAGTTACACGTTCCTCTTCGTTTAAAATTTCTCTTAATTTTTCTTTAGCACTTTTAATAATCTTCTGACGAGTTTCTGCTTTCATCTTTTCAGCGTATTCTTTTTCACGTTCTTCATTAAATTTAGCGTATAGATTTTGAATGGCTTCAATTTCTTTCTGCATACAGTCTGGATTATTGATGACACCGTTGTAGACGAAACCTTCAATCACAGTGAAAATGTTTGATGAAGTTAATGTGCTTGATTCACCTTGAATACGCTAAAAAAAGAAGTGATCAGCAAATAGTCGACAAACTACATACCATTAATTCATTCTGTACAGCTTTGACACTCGATATAGTTGGTAGTTCTGGTTCTCCACGATTTAAGGCTGAGTCATCAGGACGTGTTTTACACGTGTCTACTATTTTGATAAGCTTTTCAACCTAAATATATTTGAACAATTACACTTCACATGATACTTACCACGACAGGATCAATCCCAAGAGATTGAACGACTAACGGACTTTTAATTTCTTTTAATTCCCTTAACAAATGATCACACTGTTCTGACAAAGCAAGTCCAAATACTCTTGTCATAAGATTTAAACTATCTATGCATTTAGAAAGATTATTCCAAGCTGGAGATGCTTGAAGCACAGGACGTCGTTTGTTTAACGCATGCGATAAATGCAATAGTGTATAGCCTGTTTTTAATCTAGGCCGTTTAATATCAAAAAAGTTGTCATAGTTTGGATTTCTGATATATGGAACAAATTTGTATTCAATCTGAGGAAAGAGAAGACGAAAAAGCAGAAGAAAGAGGTCTGTGAATACAAAATGCCACCTGAACACACCATAGACAAGAATAATTGAAATTAAAGATATTTGACAACCATTTATTCAAATTTAAAACAATTAGTTCCCTTTATGAATTTAGATAAAGCAATAAGAAGACATAATTTAATATTATGAACAAGAATATGTACTCTTTTGATGTAAACTCGTTATTTAGTAATGTGCTTTTGATCAAAACAGTTGACATTTTGTGTGATTATATTTCCACAAACAATTTTCTCATCCTGTTCCCTATATGTTACTTAAGGGATTTATTACCTCTATGCACTAACAATGTTAGGTTTACATTTGAAGGCGATTGTTTCCGCAAAGTTGATTGTGTTGCTATGGGCAATCCGTTAGGGCCCTTTTTAGCAGATATTTATATGTCGTACATTAAGAATTTATCGGAGGATTTAATCGAAAATGTGCCACTTTATAGAAGGTATGCAGATGATATCGTAGTCATCACCCCAATTCTAAATCGAATGAATGAAGTTCAGAATAGCGTATCATTTACGTCTATAGAAGAGGAAGATAATGGTTAATCTTTCCTAGATATATTGCTTAGTCGACGGACAGTCTGATGGATCAATAAAATGACCTATTTATAGAAAATCTACCTGGACAGGACAGTATCTTAACTACCACAGTTTCTGTCCTGTTCGGTACAAAAGATCCATAGTAAGGTGCCTCTTCAGTAGAATCCAACGAATATGCACCGAAGACACACTTGGTGAAGAAGAAAGAAAGGTGACACAAACTCTGGTTGATAACAATTATCCAGACAAATTCATCAGGAGATATAAAGTAGTCAGAACACCAAGACCCATTCTCCAAATCGCCCCTGAGAAAGACGTGTATATCAAGCTACCCTATATGGGGCATCAAAGGAGCTTGATAACTAGACAAAGACTGGACGCTGCTGTTAAAAAGACTTTTTATGCAACTAATATCATAATAATAGAGAATGTAAAGCCAATATATCTATCTAAGCCTTTCGAACATACGAAAAATGACGTCACATCCCACTATATTTACCAATTTGAATGTACGTGTGGACACACATACATAGGGAGCACCCATCGATCTCTGCAAGTAAGGGCCGTCTTCAGAGCATATTCCTAATGTTTTGATACCATAGCGGATGTACGATTACCTCTGCTATTTGGTTTAGTGGTCTTCATTGTTATTTTGACCTTGAATATGTCCTTTTAACTTGACCTAACTTGTCTATTTTCTCACCTCTTGCGTCTTTATTAATTTCATATATATTCCTATGACAATTCCGTGTGTGATCAGATTGTTCGAAATGTGTTGCGCAAATAAATTACGCGATTCAGACAAATTACGTCTTCTTATTGCTTTCTCTCAGAATTGTGCCTACCACCTTCAAGAAAACAGGTTAACACATGCTATACATCAATATTGTATGAATATAAGAGTAGAATTTAGGCACTGGGGTAGAGTATAACTAAATATTACATAAATTCATGTAATATAACATACCATGATAGAGTATTAATGATTGAATGAACTTTTGAGTACAGCAAATCAATCAAAATCATGTAAATACATCAACACGACTGCTTAATTCACTTTGTATAGATAGCTTCACTCCCTTGTGTTTTCCAATATAAGTTTATATATATACCCAGGATAGGTAATGTGTCATTTTAAATACATGTGTCATTTGTCGACTCAATAAACAAAGATTTAGTGGTTGAACTCCCCAACCAACTATATTACTTCTTAATATTCTGTGTGTCTGTTTTCGACATAGAACTTTGCACATACGTGCACCAGTTCAAGTCGCCACACTCCCAACATGTAGCACACAAAGCAAGAGAAGAAAGTAGAAGAAACGCATAATAGAGACAGCAGACCAGGATAAGAGACAAGGAATAGTAATAACGAGGAACAATATAGTTTCATTGGAAATCATAAGTCACAAGGGTCGGATGCATCTGCACCAGCCATTGAGAACGGTCACTTTGAGCCATATCACTATGAGTTGTCTGCAGTCTTCATTGGTTTTTACCGTCCTGAGGACCCCAACCAGGAAGTCTACACTTTCCTACGTGGCTTAGACTAACTGTTGTAGATTTCATTGACTGGTGCCATGTTTTGGTTTGACCGCCGCTAACTCTTTTCCAGCCTGACCCTATGTCAGCTAACATTACCCGTCAGTCGGGGAAGGCGATGACTAGGCATACGTAACACATGTCTTAACCATCTCAATCGGTGTAACTTTACAGTCTCGTCGATTGATTTCCCCTCCTTACCTAGCACTCGACCGAAGCCTAATCTCAATATTGCTCACCTTATAATATTCTTTACCCGAATCGCCAACTTTCTATAAATGCATCTGCTAATACCAAGGATATTGGTGATCCCATTACTATCCTATTTATCTGTCTGTCTGTATGTTTTATCTTGAAATTTAAACATTGTGAAAGTAAAACGTAATTGAATGTTCAACATTATTTCAACAACCGATAATTTAGTTTTGTGTGTTTAGCTTGTTCTCTCTCGACCAACAGGTGAAAATATATCAGTGAGTTGGATAATATAAAACCAATATGGATAACAAGGAATTTTAAGCCTCAATATTGCAACCGTATAAAGAATGAACACCAGAAGCCCTACATGGGGTCTCTGAGTAAAGTTTAAATTAAGGTGGCATTTAAGCAAACCACTAGAAGATAGAAAATTTTCGACATAAAGATCCAATGAAACAAAGTAAAATGTCACTTACGAAGTAGTACGTAATATAGTGACAGTGATGCAATTACACAGGTAAAAATAGTAGATCGGGGTCAATTTAGTTATCTGAACATATAAACTTAATTAGACTAAGGATGATTGACCCTGTTAAGTCAAGTAACATTGGAGAAAAAAATTGGTCATTGTTAAGCATTTACTTGCATGTACTCACAGAATAGGGTTGGATAAAGTTAAAATATCAAGTAGTAACATAGTTATGCAAAAAGAAAGAGAGTCGTCGATTATCGAACCTTTGCTTACTGGGTCAACACGTATGATAGAAATGAAGCAAAACATCCCGGACAAACGGGGAATTGCATCAAAAACAAGAAGGGGGAAAGTGGACTAGGAAGTTATGTGGGTACATTGATTTGAATGTGAGCAAAAAATTGTGATCGAAGCATCATTCAATTATTTAAATTGAATTATCTAGATATGCAGTAAATATTTCATGTCAAGTAAACCACCTTCAAGGTGACAGCAACATCCAGCGCCAATCACCATCAACAGGAGGGATTTGAAAGAGGTTACTTCATTTACTCACTTATCTAGCGTTGAGCATTGTCTCGACTACACGAGGAACTGACGAGGATGTCGAGAGAATCGAGAATCAGGAAAACGAGAGAGAGACACATTCCTCAACCTCAAACCAATCTGGAGATCTTCGTCACTCAGCCAGCATCAACAAAATTCGGTCGAATTTTCAATACAAACGTCAAGTCAGTCAGCTCTTCTATACGGATCAGGAACTTGGCGGGCGGGTCACAAAGAATATTTCCAACAGCCTGTTGCAGACCTTTATCAACCAGCAACTGTCTTCGCTGGATCTATACTGAAGATAAGATGGCCGAGTCGGAAAGAATCACCAACAAGAAACTATGGGAACAAACAAACAAAACAAGAACAAACCAACCGCCCAAAAAATATGCAGGAGAAAGTGGAGATGGATTGGACACTCGCTGAGGAGGCCGGTGAGTGACATCGCGCGCTTCGGGCCATTTCTCGAGTGGAACCAGGCCGAAAGAGAAGCGGCGAGTGGGACGTCAGTGCCAGGGTGATATGGAGGAGATCGTGTGAAGAGGAGTTGAAACAGTATGTACTAACATGGATGGATGCAGGCGAGAAGTACAGGAGAAGACAGGAGCAAGTGGAGACGTGCAGTTGAAGCCATATGTTCCATTAGGAATCCAAGGGAACAATAATAAAACCACCTTCGGAAATAGAAGCGCCTTACAAATTCTTTGTTCTTTTTCTATAAAATCTTACGTCAACCATCGTGCAAACTTATTCCGTCTACTTTGCAAAGGTTGTTACTTTGTAAGTTTTTTATGGAGTTTTGTATATTTACAAGACTTGACAGTTAGTTAGTTCCATCTCTTAACTTAAGATTAATCTTACCCAATTCAACATTAGACAGGTCAAAGACTAGACAATAATCACAGAGTTATGTTGCAATTAATAATTGTACAAATTAATTTGGATATGTGGATAGAGCAGTAAACTGACAAAATCTTCGGAAAGAGTACACAGGGTAGGAACCAAAAAATTAGTTAGTTAATGGTATCACTATCATTTTTATTATCACACACCTTCCTTATGATAAGAGGAAGGGGCATTTAAATCTCTTCCCACTATCACACCGAAGGAGGAGAGGCGACTTAATTTTGGCTTTTTTTCCTTCACGTTCCCCAGTGGAACATAGGGCTTCAAGCTAGTGGCTTGAAGTTTCTGTAGCAGTGTTTATTTTATAGGATGGGGTTGCTAGCCTCATGCCCAACCTTTCCTCTTGGCCAGCATTATTTTTGGTTTACCGTATATTAAAGGGTGGTTTAGGGATCAACCTTTCAAAACTTTTCTCACCCTCTAGGATACATTTACGAAGTCATCACAAAGAAGGTGCTCAAACCGAGGTCGAATAAAATACGTGTGTAATTTAGATTCTCTCACAGAGTGGTCAACGACTAGAACTCCGTACCTGACTCAGTAGTAACAGCTCCATCCGCGAACGCTTTCAGATAGAAACTAGATCTATGCATATATATATATATATATATATATATATATATATATATTGCAAGGAATAACATAGGCGACAAGAGCCTTCTATCCTTATTATCTGAATCTGGATGACAAAGTGCTTTTTTGATACCCTCCGAACAAGTTTTAAAACATTTAGGTTTCTGTAGGAATGAATATGGAGAAAGTAACAGCTAAGGGTGGGAAAACTTCAAGGTAGATTTATTACACGACTTACCTCTTTGTCATCCACTGCTTTTTCTGGTGTATCGACACCAACATAAGAATCATTTTCTATCGACTTTACACAACTCAAAAGTGATGCAGCAAATACGAGGGGCTTGAAATCTTCTAATGCAAAATACTCCTGAAGACATAGTTCCCAAGCAACCGCAACTGCACAATTCCATTGGCCTTTTTTAAAAAATGAGTCCATCAAAAGGACAGCAGATACAAAATCAACGAAAATTCCTGTTTTTGACTGCAGAGTTTACAAATAGTTACACATACCCTTTCTTCAATTAATTTTAACAACCTATCCTCTTCTTGAAAGCTCATATAAGTTCGGATAAATGCATGGGGTGTGGAGTCTCTCAATTTGACTGCTGACTGAGTATTCATGAAACTAGAGTGTAATCGAAGAACAAAATATTTTCAAACCTTTTCATTACATCTTCAATGAAATCTAAGAATGTTATGTCAAGTTCATGTGTCCTGTTTGCAAACTATATTAGTGACTATCAACAAAGTTATTTTACTGTATCATATTCGATAGGTGGGACGTCCTGACCGGAGTTAATGATTTGCAATAGCTGTATTCCAAGGTCACCTATAAAAGTAAAGATTGCACGTGTTGTTCCTTACGAGGTGAAACACTTTTGAAGATATTATGTGACAAACGAGCATCCCATAAATCGGTAGCTGTGTAATTGGCAGGTAAAAAGCATCGACATGGTGTTCTTGACACATACCCGTACTGCTTAGTAAACAAACTAAAAGCAGTACTCTGTCTTAACAAGCGAATCATCAGGAAAAGATGTCCTTGAAATGAAACGTAAAACTTATTATCGGCGGGATCCAAGTGAAGGCTATACGCTCAGATTCAATCCTCAGTCTCGTTTTAAAGGCATAGTGTTAATTAATTTTATTTCTTTGTGCTCGCTCCTTGGTTCTGAGGTAAAGGTTCCTCGTCTTCGGTAAACTTATGCGTAGTTCGCCTCGTCGCTCTACCGTTGTAGCTTTCATTGACTCTAAAAGGAGTGATGCCTGAGTTTATCATATGTTGTTCGTAGTAAGTGGTGTGTTAAGACTATGTTGCTACTGCAGATGGAGTTGATCTCTCACCAGTTGGCCCTCCACTGTCATTGACAAGAGAAAACAGGTGATAATAGTGTAGCCTAAAGAAATTTGCAGCTGACACTGCAGCTGTATTTGTATTTTGATAGTGTTATTAGAAGAGGGAGATTATCTGAAAAATGTGATGTATTTACGCTATGCGTTTCTAATACCTAATCCATATGAACCATGAGACTGATGTTAATACAGCCTTTAAGGTTATCTATAAAAATGGTCAAGGGCGCTTTTGAAATACTCTGAGGCTATAGCTACTCATAAACTTAAGCCCTGTATATTCACGAACAGTTTATTATTACTCTTAACCTGCCTCAGTAATCCTTATTTGAGTGGATTACCAAAAGTTGTGTTAATTATTCTTAAATCTCGTACGTTACTTTGTTCAATTTAATTGCCTTTAATTTTCTCAGATACATCGTCTTGATAATTAAATGTTTGATCAGATTGTTCGAAATATATTGCGCAAATACATCACATTTTTCAGGTAATCTCTGTCTTCTAATGACACCATCTAAATTTATGAAAGTTATTGTTTTATATATGTGTATGTATTATAAATAATTATAATAGTGCAAGGGATGTAATAGTTGGAGTGGTCAGGAGAGTAAGACAAGAAAGAATGTAGAGAAATGAAACAGCGAATTTAGATGTCTACGCCTGAATTGCGTGTGGGATTTTAAGGGTCTAGGCCGTCTGAACGCAGTCATTATGCCGCTGCATCATTTTCCAGTCTTCGCTTAAAGCTGTCCACGGACGGTGACATAGCTACAGCTAAACGGGACTGTTACGAGTGTTCATTAACATTACAAATATGAGAATAATAATCCAAGTCAATGAAACGTTAAATAACAATATATTACCAAAAATGCAGTAACGAGTTATATCAATGAAAAGGATTACTTGGATATAAACTTTCAGTCCTCTGCTACAAAATTTTAAATATAATCCACGGGAACGTTAGCTGTTGGGATTGTGTCTGCTGTAGATGCAGTGTACCGGTTGTAGAATTGTCTTCGGATGAGGATAGTAGACTCCTACAATAACTCCAAAGTATACAAAACGGTATGAGTTGAGCAAGTAAGCAGAAATGGCCGGGAAGAAGGCGAAGACTCCAAAAGTATAGCGTATCTCCAATTGGTACACGGAAGTTATATATACTGTAAGAAAGATCCCTATAAAAAATCATGTACAATGACCCTAAATTATACAACTAACAAAAAGTGTACAATGATAATGTTACGTACTCCAAACGCTTCCCCTCAAAATTCCGGAGAGACAAAAAGAAACTGTTGCTGACTGTCAATGTAGTTGAAGATTGAACGATCAATTCATGGTTGTTTGCTCAAAACCAACTTCCCCAACTTTCGCGGAGGCATCAATACGACAGTCATCGTCTCATCGGTCGCTGTTCAGAAAGAAGTCAGGAGACAACCGTCAGAAGTAATATTGTGATTTATTATTGTAATATTTGTTCACAGACCTTAGTGGAAACATTTTTTATATGTTGGTGTTACAATAAAGAATTCTCGAGTGGCCAATCGGTGTTTTGGTTTTTCGTCCGTTATTACTAAGCGTTTCTGAGAAACTTCAAGGAACAGCGTGAGCACGAGCGTAGCAAGAGCTGGGCATTAACGGTTTACGAGACGTGTCTGACAGTTTCTGATGGTAGAAACAGATTCTGGCGGATTCAGACAGTAGGTGAAAGTTTGGATAGCCACCGTTCATCTTTCCTGGTGCCGGTCAAGTCCTCTTTGAACAAGCAATATATGGAACATTTTTGGAATTGGGTCACGTTCAACAATGCCTGGGTGAAAGAAGGGACAGAGTGTCTTGGATGCAAACAGGAAAGTAAGTCATGGTGACTTGTCTGTTACTTGTAACGATGTGTCTGATGTTAAGCATGACATGGTTGATGTTACTGTTTCGCCGTTCGGGGATAATAGGAACATCAAACTCCCTAAATTTGACACTTGCACAAGTGTAGGTCAAATAAAAATCCCTACCCACTTCTGTAACCTAACTAAAAATAAAAATTCCTTATTCTATAGCAAATCCAGTACTCCAACTCCTAATTCTTCACCGAAAACAGCACACACCAACTCGGTAGACATAGGTGAGCATGATGCTGAAACTCCTCTTAACATAGGATCGTCATGTGAAGCAGAACTACTGGGTGCTGAACCATATTCGGGGCTGACTAACGAACTCAAATACTTCAAATGCTACTTCAACTCTCATCTTAACCTAATCCTCATAAATGCTAGATCTGTTCTAAATAAATTGCCGATGCTCAGAGCGCTCACAGTAATATACAAACCCCCTGTAATTGTCATAACTGAATCTTGGTGTCATTCGAACATTCTGGATGAAGAAATAAGCCTAGATAACTACACACACTTTCGGTGTGACAGGGAAGGTGGTAATGGAGGGGGTTGTCTCATGTACTTTCTGAATGCACTTACTGTATCACAGCTAGAAAGTAGTACACTTAACATGCCAGAGACTCTATGGGTTAATGTACACTTAAATAACGTAACAGCATTAATTGGATGCACCTACAGAGCACCTGGCACCTTTAGTAACTACGAGACCCAACTTATTATTACCCTGGAGCAATTAACCGACTTACAATACGATCATAAGATCCTATGTGGGGACTTTAACTTACCTGAAATCAACTGGGATATACCCACAGGTCCAACTAAATTTGATAAGTTCTTAGACACACTGGATATACTTGGCTGGAAACAAACTGTCACTACTCCCACAAGAGGTAATAACGTACTAGACTTAATCTTCTGCCACAATATAAGTCCCCTTTCAACCCTAGTAGGTTCTCAGTTTCCAGGGAGCGACCACAAAACAGTGATGTGTGCACTGCCAATTCCGCTGAGTAGCAATGTATCTCATACCTCCACTTCACAACAAATAAAATATAGGAACTATGGTAAGGCAAACTGGGCCTTGGTAGAATCAATGCTAAGATCCTCCGAAAGGGATGAATACATCACTACTGATGACCTATCGAGAGCCCTAACCATCTTCTACCATAACACTAACACATGCTTAGATGCTGTCATTCCACTCCAAACACTAAAGGTTTCCCCACACAGGAAGTCATTCATAAAACCAAAGGATCGTACGAAACTGAAGAAACTCTCAACAAGTTACTTCAAACACCACGACTTTGGCACTCTAGGTCTAATACTTAACACCCTTAGCTCCATCTCACAAGCTCGAGACTTCCGTATGAAAAAGGAAGAACGCATCGCTGTAGCCAGTCCAGCTAGAGTGTATGCACTCACAGAAATCTTAAGGAAGCGAATGAATCGCAAAACTCACAGCATTTCTCTCCTCATAGACAAAAGTAGGCTATGCACTGAATCTGCAGACATATGTGAACTATTCGACAAAACATATGCAGGAAATTACATTAAGCCCTCAGTCCAGCTACTCGATATATACCCTGTCAATGTAGTTGAAGACTGAACGATCAATTCATGGTTGTTTGCTCAAAACCAACTTCCCCAACTTTCGCGGAGGCATCAATACGACAGTCATCGTCTCATCGGTCGCTGTTCAGAAAGAAGTCAGGAGACAACCGTCAGAAGTAATATTGTGATTTATTATTGTAATATTTGTTCACAGACCTTAGTGGAAACATTTTTTATATGTTGGTGTTACAATAAAGAATTCTCGAGTGGCCAATCGGTGTTTTGGTTTTTCGTCCGTTATTACTAAGCGTTTCTGAGAAACTTCAAGGAACAGCGTGAGCACGAGCGTAGCAAGAGCTGGGCATTAACGGTTTACGAGACGTGTCTGACAGTTTCTGATGGTAGAAACAGATTCTGGCGGATTCAGACAGTAGGTGAAAGTTTGGATAGCCACCGTTCATCTTTCCTGGTGCCGGTCAAGTCCTCTTTGAACAAGCAATATATGGAACATTTTTGGAATTGGGTCACGTTCAACAATGCCTGGGTGAAAGAAGGGACAGAGTGTCTTGGATGCAAACAGGAAAGTAAGTCATGGTGACTTGTCTGTTACTTGTAACGATGTGTCTGATGTTAAGCATGACATGGTTGATGTTACTGTTTCGCCGTTCGGGGATAATAGGAACATCAAACTCCCTAAATTTGACACTTGCACAAGTGTAGGTCAAATAAAAATCCCTACCCACTTCTGTAACCTAACTAAAAATAAAAATTCCTTATTCTATAGCAAATCCAGTACTCCAACTCCTAATTCTTCACCGAAAACAGCACACACCAACTCGGTAGACATAGGTGAGCATGATGCTGAAACTCCTCTTAACATAGGATCGTCATGTGAA